TCAGCTAGACATTCGATAATTTCTTATGTCGAGCTAGACAATCAACATTCAGCTCAACAGTCGGCCTGTAATAATTATCAAAGTATCCTTAAAGTGAATGTTGAGCTAGACAATCAACAATCAGCTAGACATTCGATAATTTCTTATGTCGAGCTAGACAATCGACATTCAGCTCAACATTCGACTTGTAATAATAATCAAAGTATTCTTAAAATGAATGTTAAGCTAGACAATCAGCAATCAGCTAGACATTCGAAAATTACTTATGTCGAGCTAGACAATCGACATTCAGCTCAACATCCGACCTGTAATAATTATCAAAGTATCCTTAAAGTGAATGTTGAGCTAGACAATCAACAATCAGCTAGACATTCGATAATTTCTTATGCTGAGCTAGACAATCGACATTCAGCTCAACATTCGATCTATAATAAAAATCAAAGAATTTTCAAAGTGAATGTTGAGCTAGACAATCGACAATCAGCTAGACATTCAGAAATTTCTTATGTCGAGCTAGACAATCGACATTCAGCTCAACATTCGATCAATAATAATGATCGAGGTTTTCTTAAAGTGAATGTTGACCTAGACAATCAACAATCAGCTAGACATTCGATAATGTCTTATGTCGAGCTAGACAATCATTATTCAGCTCAACATTCGATCTATAATAATAATAAAACTATTCTCAAAGTGAATGTTGAGCTAGACAATCAACAATCAGCTAGACATTCGAAAATTTCTTATGTCGAGCTAGACAATCAACATTCAGCTCAACATTCGACCTGTAATAATTATCAAAGTATCCTTAAAGTGAATGTTGAGCTAGACAATCAACAATCAGCTAGACATCCGATAATTTCTTATGTCGAGCTAGACAATCGACATTCAGCTCAACATTCGATCTATAATAATGATCGAGGTTTTCTTAAAGTGAATGTTGTGCTAGAAACTCAACAATCAGCTAGACATTCGATAATTTCTTATGTCGAGCTAGACAATCGACATTCAGCTCAACATTCGTTCTATAATAAAAATCAAAGACTTTTCAAAGTGAATGTTGAGCTAGACAATCGACAATCAGCTAGACATTCAGAAATTTCTTATGTCGAGCTATACAATCGACATTCAGCTCAACATTCGATCTATAATAATAATCAAACAATTCTCAAAGTGAATGTTGAGCTAGACAATCAACAATCAGCTAGACATTCGAAAATTTCTTATGTCGAGCTAGACAATCAACATTCAGCTCAACATTCGACCTGTAATAATTATCAAAGTATCCTCAAAGTGAATGTTGAGCTAGACAATCAACAATCAGCTAGACATTCGATAATTTCTTATGTCGAGCTAGACAATCGACATTCAGCTCAACATTCGATCTATAATAAAAAATCAAAGAATTTTCAAAGTGAATGTTGAGCTAGACAATCGACAATCAGCTAGACATTCAAAAATTTCTTATGTCGAGCTAGACAATCGACATTCAGCTCAACATTCGATCAATAATAATGATCGAGGTTTTCTTAAAGTGAATGTTGAGCTAGACAATCAACAATCAGCTAGACATTCGATAATTTCTTTTTTTGAGCTAGACAATCGACATTCAGCTCAACATATTCGACTTGTAATAATAATCAAAGTATTCTTAAAATGAATGTTTAGCTAGACAATCAACAATCATCTAGACATTTGAAAATTTCTTATGTCGAGCTAGACAATCAACATTCAGCTCAACATTCGACCTGTAATAATTATCAAAGTATCCTTAAAGTGAATTTTGAGCTAGACAATCAACAATCAGCTAGACATTCGATAATTTCTTATGTCGAGCTAGACAATCGACAATCAGCTCAACATTCGATCTATAATAAAAATCAAAGAATTTTCAAAGTGAATGTTGAGCTAGACAATCAACAATCAGCTAGACATTCGATAATTTCTTATGTCGAGCTAGACAATCAACATTCAGCTCAACATTCGATCTATAATAATAATCAAACAATTCTCAAAGTGAATGTTGAGCTAGACAATCAACAATCAGCTAGACATTCGAAAATTTCTTATGTCGAGCTAGACAATCAACATTCAGCTCAACATTCGACCTGTAATAATTATCAAAGTATGCTTAAAGTGAATGTTGAGCTAGACAATCAACAATCAGCTAGACATTCGATCTATAGTAATAATCAAACAATTCTCAAAGAAAATGTTGAGCTAGACAATCGACAATCAGCTAGACATTCAGAAATTTCTTATGTCGAGCTAGACAATCGACATTCAGCTCAAAATTCGATCTGTAATAATGATTGAGGTTTTATAAAAGTGAATGTTTAGCTAGACAATCAACAATCAGCTAGACATTCGAAAATTTCTTATGTCGAGCTAGACAATCGACATTCAGCTCAACATTCGATCTATAATAATGATCGAGGTTTTCTTAAAGTGAATGTTGAGCTAGACAATCAACAATCAGCTAGACATTCGATAATTTCTTATGTCGAGCTAGACAATCGACATTCAGCTGAACATTCGACCTGTTATAATTATCAAAGTATCCTTAAAGCGAATGTTGAGCTAGACAATCAACAATCAGCAAGACATTCGAAAATTTCTTTTGTCGAGCTAGAAAATCGTCCCTTTCAACCCCACATTGATTTTTAAAAAAAAAAGAACTTTTTTTAAAGCGAACGTTGAACCCCGGGCACCCAACCTGAGATTTTTAGATTTAGAAATTCCCCTTTTCGAGCTACTTCATTAACTAAAAAAAGAATTTTTAATGAACTTGGGTTTTCCCAAAAATTAGTGGTGAAAATTTTTGTTTGTTTATAATTTTAAGTCGCTTTTTTATGGTATTATTCAGATAAAACTTTATAGAAAAACCGCTTTGTCAAAACAGCAAAAAAATTTTTCCAACGTTTAAATGTTTTTAAAATCAAATTTTTGCTAATATTCAAAGGGAAAAAAATTTCCCCCCAAAAAGGGTAGATCAGAAAAAATAAATTTGATATTAAAAACAAACATCTGTAAATTTCTGGGCAAAAATCCTTTCAGTTTTATAATTTTGATTGAAAAAGTAGAACTCTTTTATTATCTTGCGTGCGTATTGAGGCAAATATAAACTTTATATTCAAATCAGTTATAGTAACATTACAAGGAATTGATTCAGTATACTCTTTTGTGCATTTAAGTATCAAAATAGTAATAAGAAATACATAGGTAAATCATAATTTTTATTTCTCATGCTGATTCAATGTTACAATCTAAGATATCGCTTATTCATATCAAATAAAACGTAAGAAGATATCCAAATAAACAAATGGCAATGACGGCTCTTAATTTCTAACCTGAAAAACTTTGTAAAAATACAGAGAGTAAGTAACACATACTGCAACTTGTCAAAAGTCACAAGTAAATATCTAATCTAATTCAGAAATTTTAATTAAACACCAAAGGACCAAAATGTATTTTCTGTGTCATCGTTTACTAATGATATATTGCCTAGCTTGCATCCAGTTTTGACACAACGGGCATGCTTGTAATCCTAACATACTTTTGTAGAGATGGTGCTTCATGCCAAATACCGATGTTAAAACAAAGGGTTTTGGCATAAAGCACCATCTAACATTGCCGTATTTCAAAAATAAGATTTTAAGTGTTAACGGTGATAGTTCGTATTGACTTGCTCTCTAGATATAACGTTTGTAGATTTCCACAAAGTAATTCTACATGTCAAATATCTATGTTCTGGCCAAAGATATTTTAAAGAAGACATTAATGTATTTTCCAACATATTAAAAGATAACCTCGGAGCGGCCCAGTTTTGTTAACAGGGCCAGTATGTGTTTGTTTATGTAAAGGACTATAACGTAATACTATATGCAAATAATGTTAGTTTATGATCTAAAATGTTTTTAAGTGTTCATTTAGCTTCGGTTACATATGTTTGCAACAAACTGGAATTATATTTCATTTTTGTAGTTGTCCGCTAGTTACTTAATCTTAAGTTCAAAAAATGTCGCTACTTACAAAATATTTGTACCTTATACAGTTTTGGGGAGATATTTATCAACATATTTTAAATGTTTTTTGAGCCCCTGTGATTGACCTATGTATCAGAATGGAACAATTTAGTAAAAATATGTAACGTTGGACCTACAGTTCATACTTAAGAAGCTTAATTACGTCGGAAAGCAAAACATATTTCCATCATCGTAAAAGGTGTTCAAGTTAGCTAAAATACAGAAAATGACCATTTATAATTTTGATACAATGTGCAAGAATGTATTTTCTGACAGTTTATAATTATTTTTCTTGTTCTTGTTAGCATTACTTTGTTCTTCTAATACACATATTTTCAAGTAAGATTCGAAATATTGCTGCTCTAAACATTATACAAGATTTTTTATTAAAATGCAAGATACTATGAAATATCTCACATACATATAACAGAAGACATATTAACAAAAATAAACCAAAAACAATTGTAATTTCAATGCATTAAAATATTTTTTCATGAATTTATTAATTTCAAGATTTATATTGAAAACCAAAACAAATCTCTTATACTTTTTCTAAATAGCTTAAAATATGTGGGCATTTTTGAAACAAAAATTCAGAATTGCTTTAAACTTGCTTTAAAATTGCTAACTAATCGAAAATATTTTTTTATAAAGACAGTTATAACGTGAGGAGTTCATATTCATGTAAGCAGGCGCTTAAATTGTTCCACATAAAATATTTCGAAAGTTCCTAGCTATATCACAGACGCAGTGTCATCTGTCATGCAGTGAGAAGTATCTACATTTAATGTTATAAGTGTCAAAACCATCAATCGGTATATGTTTAAAAAATTTAACTTCATAAAGCCCTGGTAATACATGATAAAGAATATGATTTAGGTTGTCAAACCAATAATAAAAATCAAAATTAACATGCCAATTCATACTGTTGAAAAGTTTTGTCATTTTAATCTTATTTTCAACCCTAATGCTGGAGAAAGCCATATCATTTATCAGATTGTAATGACTTAAACAATTTTAGGGAAGTGCAACCAAATTATAATTCGTGTCGAATAACATAATGATTTGTCTACCTGAAAATGAAACAATTGCTTTTTGATTTTTTGAATTCATAGCGATTGTGGCCCTTTTTAGCACAACTATTTTAACAACGTTTTCTAATTATCAATTACGTAAACCCCTATCAGAATACATGTATATAAAAAGTATTTCTAGCTATGGCAACCATCTTGAACATCTAGCCATAATTTAAAATATTATATAAAAAGGACCATTAAGGGATCATCATTCGCTAGTGTGAATACTATTGGCCTGGATGTTCATGAAATTCTCTTTTGCTCCAAATTAAAACAATGACCACCAAACGCCTGTGTAGGGTAACAATACAAACAAATGAATGATAGAAAAATCGTATTATGTAATTGCTATCTGTCAGTCTGCATTAGTGATTGTTAATGCTTGGATAAAATAATCAATGAATACATTTCCTGCACGCTCCAAAAATAGTATTTAACTTTTAAGAAATACCCCTTATTTTCTTAAATTTAAGGAGCGTCCAGCTATTCGTCTTGAACATAACAATAGAACAAAGATAATTAGACATTTTCATACACTTAAAAGCGGTGCCACTGAGGTAAAAAAAAACAGTACAAAAATATACTCAGAAGAGAAGTGATATACCATGGTGTTGCCAATTTGAGTTAAAAGCTTTGTTCCCGCTTTTCAAATTTGAGTAACTTTGCGTTATACAAAGGACTATCCTTTAAACATGGATGGACCAAATTATCTGAAATATGGCACTCGAGTTACTGACCTACATTCGATTGTACAAAAATCTTTAAAAAAAAATGTTCCCTTCATACCAAAAAAACAAAACAAAACAAAAACAACAAATCCTAAATGGCGTTCTTTAAACATGTTTTATACATGAAATGGTTTTGTAACATGTTTAATGCCTAAATTTGTTTTCAGTCTGAACATGCACCATTATAGCAAAACACTAAATAACTAGGAAACCACTTTTCCAAGTCTTTAACTATTGGTCCTAACTTTGCCCTTAAACCATCATACCAGAAAAAGGAATCTTTGTAACAGACGATAGAACAATAATGTTCTTCCTTATGCATGGTTATTCCAGCAAGTTTGTAAATGCAACCCATAAGTTCTATGGTTGTACACTGCATCAGAGTTTTCACACTCAATTTACCGTTCAGGAAGAGTTCATATATTCTGACCGGCAGTACTGGAAAAGTTTTCATTATCTCTCGCTTATGTGTTCGTAAACCGGTACAGGAGGCTTCGCTTCTGGAAAAAAAAGAGTCGTAAAACAAATATTTTCGGAAACTGTTTAGTAAAGTTACTTGTAATATCTTTTGTGGGAATATATATTTTTTTTGAGAAGTTCGAAAACTTACATGTACAGTAAATTCGGACAGATAAATGTGTGCTACTAAGAACTAATTCAACTTGTTAAAGACACCCTGTACTCATTTATGCATATCTATATCTATTTATTGTATAGCATTCTAGTCAAACTCAATTTATTGGTAAATCTAAATAGAATCCAAGTGTCTTCAACCTAAAGAAAGAAATGTTTTGGTTCAAATCTTGCTCGCAACGTATATATTAGAATAAGTACGACGAAAATGAACTTTATAATTTCTTTTAATATCACAAGTGCTCACTTTTTTAATATTCAACAACTTTAATGATATTGTATATATATTATATATATTTCTTACGTGTGTTCATAGTTTTCAACGTCAACTTGCACACATGGAGAGTTATTATTCATCCACCAGTCGATAATGTTTTGTATGTTTTCAATTCCTGTTGGGTATCTGTAAAAACAAAATGAAACTATTCAACACAAGAATCAATCCATCGTTATAAAGACAACGAGGATGGTCACTTGAACATAAATGCCAAAAACATGAATAAATAAATTGATAAAGGAAACAAGTAAAAAGAAAATTTTGTTTCACATCAAATGATATTTGAAGACTGACATATCTTTAAATGGCACTGTTTAAATAAACTTGAATTTTGCTTCCCTATAATAAATAATATAATATATATAATTGATTTATTATAGGGAAGCAAAATTCAAGTTTATTTTAAATTACTAAATGGTATAACAGGAAAAATTAAATGCAGTCATACGTAAATTTTGATTCTTTAGGAGAGGAAGTCGATGTCATCATACATCATGTTAAAAATGTAACAAAATTAGAGAAATTGAACAGAACTATATTTCAAAATTGATAATGTGACGTCATGATATGATGACGTCATAAAGGAGAATGCGCGACGTTACGCGGCAAAATCAGTAAAAAATACTTAATATCTCTTTTAAAGCATGAAATAAAAAGTAAATTTATTTGTTTTACATATAAGATTGAAATATATTTCATTCGTGAACACCAGCTATTATAGTTTCACTCGTGGCTTCGCCACTCGTGAAAATATTGCATCTGGTGTTCACGCAGTGAAATATATTTCACTCTTAATAGCAAAACAAACAAATCTCCTCTATAGCTTCAATAGATCCATTTATGACTTTACTATTTATGAAGGATACTGATTGACTATTTTATTATGGCTATTTTCAGAATTAACGTTACGAAACTACTTTTACATAGATAAAGTTAAATAAATGCCACTTAAATACTAAATCTATTAATTCGCTAATTAATCTATAAAATTAGCTAGCGAATAAATTCAGTTTTTAAGCGACAGGTAAGCGAAACTTCTTTTCATTGCATATCGAAATGAAAACTTCATTTATTCGTTAAAAGTGCACTATTAAGTTAGCATTAACATCAAGTGTAATGTTGTACTATATGTGTATGATTTCATTTTAAAATTTTAAGAGAGCAGAAAGCGGCACATTTACGCCATAACAAGTTTTTCCTTCTTTCTTTATTAAGAGGTGTTTATGAAATATCTATAATATCTGTGTGACTATTAATAGTTATGATTCATTCATCACATAAATTCTAAAAATTGTTGTTAATTGAAAGTTACATTAAACATCTAAATGAAAATATTTAAAATAATAAAGAAAAAGCAAATAAAATATATTTTAAAGGATGCAAAATACAATTAAAAGCGTGAACAAAATCACTTAAGACTACGTTTTTGGAAATTGTAAAATGACACTTGAACGTTAATGAAATAATGTTTTAAGCTTTTAGCTGGCCTAAAAGTATGTGACATCAAAACAAAGCAAACATACCCTAAACAAATACAACCATGTTCCGGACGTCCGTCACTAATGGTATTGGTACAGTTGTTGTTGTCGCAAACCGATTTCACAGTAGTTAACCACTCCTCGTCTAGATGCTTGAACATAAAGTCATACTCGTCTCCAAACAGACTTTTTCTTAATGACATTAGATCTTCTTTGGTTTCGGTGAGATCAGCCCAGATGGCCTTTGCGGCTGCAAATTCAGACTTCGACATTAACATCATTACAGACTTTAATGTGTTTCCGACCTTTGACAGTTCGTTTTCCAAAGCATATCTAAACTGTTGGTTATCTTTATGAAATAAATTTATAATTGTTAACCCATTGTCAATTGTGCATGTATTTGTTATGTAAATGTCTTCTACTTTTCCACCCCAACCCATAACCTTTGGTAGATTCTCCATCGTTCTTTGTATATTATGATACTTTGGTTTCTTTTTAGTTTTATTTTCTTTCCAAATTTCTTCTTTAATTTCGAGGAACGCATCTGTCGTGAGTGTCTTTTCCTTCTTAGTTCGTTTCTTGGCTGTCGTTTTTACCTTTAACGAGTTTTGTGAATCTATCGTTTCATTTTGAATTTTGGTTCTTGTGTTTTTTCCTTTATTAGCTTCTGGACAATTCTGTTCTGTCAATGTCTTACTTTTTCTTTTATCTGCTCCTTGAAATTCGTATTGTATTAGTCTGCTCACTACAGCATCTTTTAACTTATTGACAAACTTTGCAGGTCTTAATCTCTTCAGTTTTAAGTCACATTTTAGGTATTTGAACCAAATTTCAGCTGCTGTATTTGTATCTCTTGTTAGATATTTGTTGTCTTGCCCAATCAAAAACCTTAGCATTATCCCAGACCATAGAGGGAATATAGGAAAGAATCTTTCTAGGCACTCGATAAATGCTGGAAAAAACAAGGCATTTGGTCTTTCTCCTTCAATTTGATTTATTTCTTTCCTTGCCCTATTTTTAACTTTAGTAAATTCAGCAGTGAATGGCGAGGCTTCTTTAATTGTCATTTCTTGTAATTCGTTTTCATTTGGTAGTTGCGTCTCATCCTCATTTTCTTCGCTTTCTTCATTAAGATCATGATCAGGGTCAATGTTCTTCAAGTGTCTTTTAAGTTCCCTTAACGATTCTGTTGTTTGCAATGACTCTTTTTCAGAGAGAAAAGTAATACATATGAATCTATATATTTCTTTTGCACATTCCATGGAAGTTGTGTTTTGAAGAATAGCAAATAACCGTACCATTAGATGTTTTGTGGTTTTCTCAACTTTGTACTGTTTTAAGCATCGAATAAAGTCCTTGATCATGTGGGCTGAACATAAATGTATAACTGTAAAAGGAATAGAATGGATAGATTCATTTGTCGGGTCGAGGTTGAGGTGGTCAAAACATTGTAAAATATATCTTTTTAAGGTTGTTGTATTAAAAGATTTCAAAACTGCTTGTATTAACGCGTAACTGTAGTCAGTTTCTATCTTTCTAATATTCAATTTTCGTCTGCCACTCAGTGTTGCTCTTATGAATGTTCCAAAAAATAACTCAATTCGTGGAATTGTGTGTTGCGTTGTTAACATATCAGCTATTGACACAGGCGGTAAACTTTTATTAGGTTTTATGACTATACTGTAAAGATATGGCTTCTTTTGTCCTTTAATTGTGTGAATTATTGATCCGGTAGCGTCAATGAAGAGGTTCAACTCATCAGTTTTCGAAAGTTGTTTAACTAATTTGATTTGGTCCTCAGAAAACAAAATAAGTGTAAACGGGTCCATACCTATGTCCTGTATATAATGTTGTTTTCCTTGACTTTCTTTAAGAACGTCTAGTTCAGCCAATATATTTTGATGAAGCTGCTCTTCTTCTAATATTTCTGAAACGATCTTTCTTAGAACTGCTTTATTTGGTGTATCTGAGTAGTTGCCTTGTTTAAGCATATTCTTGTCTGCATTTAAAAGGTTTTTGGAGAAGTATGACGCCACCGTAGTTGATGAAAGTTCTTGTGCTGTAAGATGCCTTTCATCGCCAGCTATGTTCCGTCTATTTACCTCGCTTTCGTCATGAATAACAAATCCTTCTGCTTTAATATTTACCAGAACGTCGGTATCACATAAAGGTTCTTGATGAATTGTGAATGTAAAGCTTCTGCAACAAGTGGAACCTTTGCACACTGCTTTCGCAACAATAAATGGTCCTGACGATTTTCTAGTTTTGTTTTGTTTAACACGGTGTGACCGAAATGCCAACACACAACCTGGGTGGGTTTCTAAGATTCCTTTAGCAAATATACGCGTCCAATCTCCCTGCAATCGCCTTACTTTTCGTTTGCATTTACCTTCATATATTATTTCTTTTGGCTTAATCCTTAGCCAGACATCCGTTTTAATTTGAAATGATGTGGTTTCATTGTCTTGAATGTTTTCTTCAAATACAGTCATTTCATCATCATTTATCTTTTCCATATGTTTCTTTTTTTTCTTTTTCATTTTCGCCATTTTGTCAATTGTATCCGATCTTGTAGAATCATCGAGAAACACTTTAGTCTCTTGATCATTCACACTTTTTATTTTTTCTCTGTGCTTCTTTTTCTTTTTCTCCCTTTTCCTTGATTTTGTATCTTCGAATTCGTCTGTTTTTATCATTTGTGATTTATTTTGAAGTATGCTTATTCCGTCATCATTTGTTATCTTTGTATTTTCTTCATGCTGGTGTGTTTCGATTTTCTCCTCATGTGCATCAGCATTCGACAAATTGGATATATGTTGAAAACTGCTTATTTCGGAGTCATTCAAGCTTTCCATATTGTCTCTATACTTTTTTGAGTTTTCTTTTTCTTCATTTACAAACGTGGAAGTAAAATGGGATTTATCTTTATGAGTATTGATCATGTTTTCTTCAAATACAGTCAATTCATCATCATTTATCTTTTCAATATGTTTCTTTTTTTTCTTTTTAATTTTCGCCATTTTGTCAATTGTATCCGATCTTGTAGAATCATCGAGAAACACTTTAGTCTCTTGATCATTCACACTTTTTATTTTTTCTCTGTGCTTCTTTTTCTTTTTCTCCCTTTTCCTTGATTTTGTATCTTCGAATTCGTCTGTTTTTATCATTTTTGATTTATTTTGAAGTATGCTTATTCCGTCATCATTTGTTATCTTTGTATTTTCTTCAAGCTGGTGTGTTTCGATTTTCTCCTCATGTGCATCAGCATTCGACAAATTGGATATATGTTGAAAACTGCTTATTTCGGAGTCATTCAAGCTTTCCATATTGTCTCTATACTTTTTTGAGTTTTCTTTTTCTTCATATAAAAACGTGGAAGTAAAGTTGGATTTATCTCTATGAGTGTTGATCATGTTTTCTTCAAATACAGTAAATTCATCATCATTTATCTTTTCCGTATGTTTCTTCTTTTTCTTTTTCATTTTCGCCATTTTGTCAATTGTATCCGTTCTTGTAGAATCATCGAGAAACACTTTAGTCTCTTCAACATTTACACTTTTTATTTTTTCACTGTGCTTCTTTTTCTTTCTCTCCCCTTTCCTTGATTCTGTATCTTCGAATTCGTCTGTTTTTATCATTTTTGATTTATTTTGAAGTATGCTTATTCCGTCATCATTTGTTATTTTTGTATTTTTTTCAAGCTGGTGTGTTTCGATTTTCTCCTCATGTGCATCAGCATTCGACAAATTGGATATATGTTGAAAACTGCTTATTTCGGAGTCATTCAAGCTTTCCATATTGTCTCTATACTTTTTTGAGTTTTCTTTTTCTTCATATTCAAACGTGGAAGTAAAGTGGGATTTATCTATATGAGTATTGATCATGTTTTCTTCAAATACAGTAAATTCATCATCATTTATCTTTTCCATATGTTTCTTTTTAATTTTCGCCATTTTGTCAATTGTATCCGTTCTTGTAGAATCAGCGAGAAACACTTTAGTCTCTTCAACATTTACACTTTTTATTTTTTCACTGTGCTTCTTTTTCTTTCTCTCCCCTTTCCTTGATTCTGTATCTTCGAATTCGTCTGTTTTTATCATTTGTGATTTATTTTGAAGTATGCTTATTCCGTCATCATTTGTTATCTTTGTATTTTCTTCATGCTGGTGTGTTTCGATTTTCTCCTCATGTGCATCAGCATTCGACAAATTGGATATATGTTGAAAATTGCTTATTTCGGAGTCATTTAAGCTTTCCATATTGTCTCTATACTGTTTTGAGTTTTCTTTTTCTTCATATACAAACGTGGAAGTAAAGTGAGTTTTATCTATATGAGTATTGATTCCATCAACACAAATGTCTTCCGTTTTATCTTTGTATTTTTTCTTCTTTTCCGTTGATCGTTCATTATTATTATTTGAATTCAGTACATTTTGCTTATTTTCTAGTTTTTCACTTTCAGCAATGATTGTGCCTTCTTGAAATTGTTTCAACTTTGTGTTTATATTTTGAGTTTGTTCTTCCTTATAGATTTCATCTGGAATAGTTTGTATTTTCTTTATTTTCGATCCTTTTTGAAGCGTAATCACATTATCATTGTTAATTTCGGTCTTTCTTTTCTTTTCTGGTTTATTTTCTGCTGTACTTGATTCTAATTAAAATATATATAATTCATTATGATTTGATATGCTTATCAAACAATTTTGTTATAAAATTGGCTTTAGTTTCAAATATATTAACGTTATATATTAAGTAAATATAAATGATAATTGCCTAGTTTACTTGAATGTCAAGTTGTTTAATTAAAAAACATCACCCAACGATAAATTTGATAGAGGAATAAAAGAGCTAGAATGCTACATTTCTAAATATCTGAATTACCTTTGGGACCCTTAAAAATAACAAATATTGTCCAGATTATTATTTGTGAGCCTTTTCTTTTACACTAAGCATACTAATTTTATAGAGACCATTGTAAAAAGTTTTTTGCCAAATACATAAACCGGTGTTACTTAGTCTTTTAAATTACCTCCTTATAATATTCAAAAATGCTTGTCTGGAGAATATTAAAATAAATTTAACACTTTTGTTTAATACAGATGATACTGATTGACTGATCTCTTTTACATTTGGTATGTAGATATGTGTTTGATCTTTATTTTCTTTTCGGAGTTAAGGTTAACTGGATTCAAAAGTTACGGCCACTAGTGCTAAAATATATTGTTCCCTTGCTGATTCAACCTTTGTTTATTAACTGATGTTTTGCATAATGGGTAGGGAGATACCAAATACCAATGCTAGTTTTCATAATTTAGGAAAAATGTCACTTTGTGACTTACGTTAATGCCAACGATAATAAAATAGAGGTTTGCTCTTTTTGTTAATACAACATGATATTATATTTATTGACAAATATTGACGCATAATATATGGTATGCGTAGACACTTGGCAATTCAAAGAGACCAATCCAAAATTAATCCTTTTTCATTGTAGTGACACATTGTCAAATAGGCCATCACAATACCTTACCATGAGCACGTTGTAGTTAGGTGAGCTAAAACAGACTGGCTAGATACAAGGCAATATTGGTAAAATATAAAACTGCTTGGCCACACCAAAATTAAAATGTACGCTTGTTTGAATTATTTGAAACACTTAAAAGTCTTAAACAAGTTATGGGGCGGTCACAAAATGTTTTTTTTTTTAAATATGACATTGACTTTGCGGCGGGAAGTAACCTGGTTGTTGCATAATGACCATGGTCTCATAAAAAAGACTTTTGTATTTTGGGAAACGTTCAACAAGTTACAAAGTCATTGTGCTGAACGGAGCTGATTTACTGGTACTGCAGTACGTATTGTAGCCATTTGCCAAGTTCTTCATTACTCAATCTTCATTTGGCTACTTCTGGTATTTGTAGTGCATTATCCTCTCAAAAGTGGCACAGGTACTGCAGAACCTGGCAGTATTATTTCTCTAACCGAGATCATTTACTATTTTACTGGTTTTAACACCATAAAAAACGACTGTCTGATCAATGACTTTAAGCAAATATTTCATGGATATGAATGATTTGCCATGAATGACTTATTTGAAATGTATAATTATGTACATTTTTTGTAATATAACAAAAAAATAACCAAAAAAGTATCCACGGGATTGTTTTTGATGAATTAGCTGGATTGATTTAAGCATTGATATATGTTCCTGGCAATGGGCACCATCTGAGCAATCTTGGTAGAGGTCTACTACATAATTATTCATGCCAAATATCTAACCTCTAGCCTTTGTAAATTCAGAGAAGAAGATTTTTTAAATGTTTAATATATACATATAAGAAAAAACCTATGATCCCCGGGGCGGGCCAATTTTGACCTGTAGATGAAATTATTTACCAAATATCTAAGCTCTAAGCCTTGCTCCTTCAGACAAAAGGATTTTGTTAAAGCTTTTACTATATACGTATAAGGAAAACCAGTGACCCCAGGGCGGGGCCAATTTTGACACCAGGACTATAATTTGAGCAACTATGGTAGAGGACCTATAGATGATATCATATAAATCAATAAGGTGATATCATATTAGTCAATAAGTTGTATAAATGGCACTTTTACAGGCTGGTGAAGTAGGGGCACCTTTGTACTATAGCACATGTCTAGTCAATAAGGGAAATTTCCCGTCGAAACATAAAGTATAGCAAATTTCATACACCAAGTTTATTTAAAGACCATGGTCAGATTCAGTATGAACTCATTGGAGGTGTTGTCCCATTACTGTTACATATGGTTTCTGTTCTTGGTATTGATGTATTGATGTTTCTCATAAATTTTAGTAGAAACCCAGTTATCATTTACCAAAACAGGTGGACAACGCCAGAACAATTTAACCACTCCCGCTAATATCGACGGGAGTTAAAAGAATTAATTGTTAAGTCACTTTGATATCTATTCATATTTTCGACTTTCTTTAGCTATGATTATGTGCATTTTTGGAATTGTAGAGTATGACAGTATAACATGAAACAAAGAATGCGATTAATAATTTATGAAAGTCGTTGCTCATCAAGGACAGAATTTGTACATGTATACTCTTACTTGGATACATATTCATTAAACTTAGCTTAAAACGTTTATTGACAAATATGATCGTAGTTCTACGTATATTATCGCAGATAAACATAATTGCAAGTTCAGATGACGAAGAAAGTGACGTTAATTTTTGTGTGTAGATAAATGGAATTCAACGATAATTGTGATCTTCACAAACGGAGCTCAAATCAATGGACATAGATGAATGGAGTTCAACGTTTGTTTACACAGATGAAATGAGCTCAACGTTTTTAATGCAGTTATACAGAGTTAAACGTTTAAGGAACATATTTTATCTTTAAACGTTAATTGAATTACGGTTGATGAAATTCAACATTAATTGATGGAGAATATAAAAATATAACTCCAAAATTACACAATTCATAAAATGTGCATGAAAATAGCATTATTAAAAACATAATGCTTGTTTTACATTTGGTATAAGGCATGTTCTTCTAGCACCGGTGAAAATCTAGACTGACAAGCAATAAGTTCTTATTATTGACGTTGATGAATGATCTTCAACGTTGTTTTTTTTTTACCAGGAAAAAAACGCAGTTAACATTTTTTTACGTACATAAATGTGTTAAACGTTTATGGACGGTTTTAACTGTATTAGATGTCAGTCAAATTTTGTTTTATATTCAAATAAATAGCAAGGTTTGCTTTATGTTTTAAGCATATAATCTTTTACAATTTTGAATGCCTCTTGACTGTTTATTGAAACGAATTGATTATGTTTTTTATCTAGTTTGGTGATCTGCTATCTCGTATATAATGTATAAGAACTTCATTTACCTTTACCTCTTCTTCTCTTCAAAGTAGAAAGGCAAGCCAACTTGACTTTTTCCTCCATTACTTTATGCTTTGCTATAAAGTAGAATAAATAAGTTTTTATGTGAATAAATAAGTATTTCTTGTCACAAATATACACAGTGAATTGCAATTCCTTAATTAAATTTTCAGGAAAGATTAATTTTATTCAGAAAATCATACAATCTGATTTGCTTAATAAATAAAGAGAATTATTCATGACAACTATCACAGTCAAGTATAATTTGACTGACGAATAACTTTAAACATGCAGAAAATAGTTATTTTTTCTGTTGTAGTTTTTTTCTGTTGTGTAGATAAATCACTTACATAAACAGCATTGTAACAGTGCTGCTTTGTCGTACCGTATTTGTCACTCTTCAGCCGAAAATGGAACATAAAATGTGCCTTATTCTGTTGGATTGATTTTTTTTCACTTACCAAAAATGCGCATAAAAATGAAAATACGAACGTATACGTCACATATAGATTTTTTTTACTTAAGGTAGAACGCGACACTTTGCGAACTTTCGAGTAGCGTCTTGAAAATTGGCATGCAAAAAAATGACCATATTTCTGATCGGATTTCGTTGATTTTATTTCAATAGTTTTAGCCAATTTTTGTACACATGACGTCAAAGTTGACCATCAAAGCCCGTTTTTGACCATGACGTCGTTGCGTAACTTTGGCAACTGTTACGGGTATTTCAACGCCATTGGCGAACAACATATCTTAAATCCTACAGCATTCGACGGAAATTATTTTTTCCTTTAAGCAGATATAAAATTTATTGTTTTACGCCGAAAATTGTTTGAGTAATGGAAAGAAAATTGTCAATTTTGTGTAAAATTTGACGTTCAGTTTAGCCGCAATTTTCAGCTTTAAAGCGGCTTATTAAAAAATTCCTGAAATAAATTTTTGATTTTTTTCTTTGAAAGTCCTTTAAAATGTATACTTAGTCAAAATGACTAAAATAATTAGGGGGTCACCGACTTAATTTTTTCGGTACACGTGACTTTATTTCCCCCACCCCTTTGGATAAAAGTCACGCTATCACGGGGCGTTTGGTTATTTGATGTTATTTAAACGATCGCCCTGTGTCAAAATCCCGCTTTTTACGGCGTTTTACGCTATTATGACCACTGCGGAAAATATATGGAAACAATAAAGGGTACGGAATTCTGTATATTATAGATAGACAGGTAAAAATAAGTGAAATTTGATGTACGGGACCGTATATCTTGCAATACGTATATGACTAATATACCGTGATCCGTACACTCGTAATATGCGGGAACTTTGAATGAAGTTCGTATTTACTAAAATACGTTTTTTTTTTAAATTACACGATCAGATATTACCAAAATATGTTTTTTTATTCTTGTAAATACAGATTTTGTATATAAAACAGTGAATAAAGATGTACTTCAGAATTAACCACTTTCTACAAGAGGAAAGAAATAATAGTCTGATCTGACATTTGTCAGAATAACATTAAATAGTAAAACTTTGAGTAAAATGTAATATTTCTCGGTTTTATTAACATGTCAGTTGCATACTGATTAAATAGTTAGTGAAACATCGACAGATCCTCTACAGTGCCCGTAGCATGTACAGACAAAAAAATGACAATATATATTGAAATATCTTTATTTTGTATAAAGATTTACAACGCAGCACTCCTTTGTGCAGTATCTAGCTCAGGGCCGCCGGTTCGCTAAAATCCGCAGACGTGTATTTACAGCGTTTCATTATAATTCATGTTTAAAGTACTGTTTTTCTAAATTTTCCTGTTCAAAATAAATTCTACCATAAATTTGGCTATAAAGTGAATAATGAATATTTGTAAAGGCCGATTTGATAGTAATGTTTTTAATACAGCGTTTACGGTGAATCCTCAATTAATCGGTATTTTTAACATTGTGATATTCTAAAATGATAAACAAAACGAGAGAATATGTATTACAGATACATGTAGAATCGAACGTGCTACATCTGAAATCCAACACCCACTGAGCTAACGTTTCAAGCATGACTGTTTGCTTCACGCTAATATAATTGACTTTGACTAAGTTTCATTTATGAACCATATATTTAAATTTGTCAATATTTCGCCAATTCTGTCAAATTGTTGCAATATTTTTTTAATTACAAGTGAAATTCAAATTCTGGTTTTTAATAGGTGAAATTAAATACATATCACTCACAGTATATCACTCATAGTGTGGGTAATGATTTGTAGAATTTCTTGTAGACTACGTATTAATTTATGATTGAATTTCCGTAAATTTCTAAATTTACATAAAAATATATAGTTGCTTTTTGTTCCTTAAGGCATATTTCTCGATTCAAGTTTATTAATCTTATTGTATTACAATATCAAAAACGAACACCGCAAATGTTTACTCTCAGCTGTATTCAAACGTATCTGCATACGTCGAATTTCGTTACAAAATTACTCACGGGGTGGGGGGAATAAAATCACGTGTACCGAAAGAAGTATACATTTTAAAGGACGTTTAAAGAAAAAAGTCAAAAATTTATTTCAGGAATTTTTTAATAAGCCGCTTTAAAGCCGAAAATTGCGGCTAAACTGAACGTCAAATTTTACACAAAATTGACAATTTTCTTTCCATTTCTCAAACAGTTTTCGGTGTAAAACAATAAATTTTATATCTGCTTAAAGGAAAAAATAATTTCCGTCGAATGCTGTAGGATTTAATATATTTTTTCCGCCAATGGCGTTGAAATATCCGTTACAGTTGCCAAGGATACGCAACGACGTCATGTTAAAAACGGGCTTTGATGGTCAACTTTGACGTCATGTGTACACAAATTGGCTAAAATTATTGAAGTAAAATCAACGAAATCCAATCAGAAATATGGGCAATTTTTTGCATGCCAATTTTCAAGACGCTACTCGAAAGTTCGCAAAGTGTCGCGTTCTACCTTTAATAAATACGTTTTGCAATATGATATCCGTTTATTAAAAAAAATAACCTAATGACGGAATCGTAAAACCACAACCGCGATGTTCTTCACCATCATCATACGCAGCAATAGCATCATCATTATCATCATCTCAAGTGTATAATAAACAAATATTTTACCGAATTGTTGAAAAGTGTATAATAAACAAATATTTCAGCGAATTGTTTAAAAGAGTATAACAAACAAATATTTCACCGAATTGTTTAAAAGTGTATTGCATGGTTGCATCGTATGTGCAATTAAAGCTCTAGCAAGATGTGATTTTTTCCTGATGAATCACAAAGTATGGATGGTACAATGATGAGGGGAAGTGATGACCTAATGGCTAAGATGTTTGCGTATCAATCCTAGGATTTTGGGTTCGAGTCAAACTTGTCAAACAGTTTGTTTGAAACAACTTCAACGCGTTAAATCGATGTGTTAAATCGTCATTTCGAAAATGACCTTGGTGGTTTTAGGAATAACTTAACGTTTAAGAGGCAAGTTATAAATGTGGAGTGAACAGAACGCCATTCATATCATCTCCTCTCGTGCGCACATACATCTGGTTTGAAGCGTGAAGAAAATGATTTATGAAATGTTCAAAAAATCATTTTTTCGTGATTAAAAAGTTTTGATTTTGCTTATATTTAAGTCACGGCGTAAAATAATTAATTTTATTTAGTGGCATAACGTCATTTGTTATGTCAAAATCACGCTTTGTGCGCGTAAGATAAACTTAAAAGTTTCATGAACATGCCTCTTGTTAAAATACTGTTGATGCTACACGCAACACAAGTTGTCAAGGGCAATAACTCTGGCATGACTGCCCGAATCGACAAGCAAAATCCCAGGTGCACAATAACATAATAAGCGGTGGGTCCCTCACAGCGGTGGTGGGGTATTCGTCGCAGAAGCGGTGGATAAAATATGGCGGTTTGCTGTTGTCTGTAAGTATATGACTGCATTTTGTTGTATGTTTTAATGTTTTACTGGAAATATTTCGTGAGACTTGAGCCCACATATGTACTCTTTCAACTTATTACACGCACATGTTGCAATTCATTGCCGTATATGCAAACACTTCTGTACAGTTTGACGAGAGGACGCCACTTTTGCCTAATTTTGGTAAAGACACGTACAAATGTGTGCAAAACGACCCCATAATACAACGGCATCACATCGTATGAATAATACCTTTACAAAATTACCATATTTTGGAAATTTGGGAAATTATTATTGCCTGTTTATAAAATAAATGACAAAAAATGATTTCAACGTAGACTGCGGAGGAATCGATTGGGCCCGATACCATTTATGTATATTTTAAGCGTTTAACTTGATGTTACGCACTTTTAAATTGAGTACAACCCTTTTCTTACTTTGATATCCGAGAAACGTGTTTATTTTATATTTATTTATTTATTTATATTAATTATTATATATACATTTTTGTCATTTATTTTATAAACAGGCAATAATAATTTCCAAAATTTCCCAAAAATTGTATTTTGTAATAGTATAATTCATACGATGTGATGCCGTTGTATTATGGGGTCGTTTTGCACACATTTGTACGTGTCTTTACCAAAATTAGGCAAAAGTGGCGTCCTCTCGTCTTACTGTGTAAAATGTGTGACATATACGGTCAAGTATTTACTACCAAATTGCAGAAACGTATATGGCATATAAACACAGCTGTGATTAATTCAGCGAATTATGTCCCACAGGCACATACGTTCCGTGACATATACGGTCTGACAGTGCTTCAATCTCTATTATCTAGTTCCATTTGTTCACTACATCAATTTAAGTCATCATAAAGATAATTATAAAACTGACTAGTCCTTTAATTTCTAGCATTTAATTTCGCGATACCGGACCTATTACATTATTTATATAAACAAAAAAATATAAAGTATAAATGATATACTGACTGATGAATTGATTTCATTTTTATTTACTCTTTTACCTGTTTTTAGTCTTTTTCTTGGTGTCCGATTTACTGATAACCGTGAATTTGGTAGGATTATTCCGTCATCTGGATAAATAAATGAGATCCATTTTAGCGCAAAATTAACAGATTATATGAAATAATTACCAGTTATAACAATAATGATAAGCATAGAATTTTAATTTTAATTCTTTTTCGTATTTCTTCAATTTATAATTCTTCTAGATTGGAAACATATTGTTTATTTAAACACTCTTTTGAATTTGAAAATGAGTTGGATCTTATGGTTGAACCGATATTTTACGGTGGCATCAGAAATATTTTATCTATCACGTGCGCATACGATGTGGGACATCAGAAATATTTTATATATCACGTGCGCACGCGATGGGGGATATCAGAAATATTTTATCTATCACGTGCTTATGCGATGGGGACATCAAAAATATTTATCTATCACGTGCGCACGCGATAACTACTACGTGCGCACGCTATAGCTAACACGTGCGCACGCTACTACTAATACGTGCGCACGCGACAGTTACTACGTGTGCACGCGACAGCTTCTACGTGCGCACGCGATGGGGACATCAAAAATATTTATCTATCACGTGCGTACGCGATAGCTACTACGTGCGCACGCTATAGCTACCACGTACGCACGCTACTACTAATACGTGCGCACGCGACAGTTACTACGTGTGCACGCGACAGCTTCTACGTGCGCACGCGATAACTACTACGTGCGCACGTAATACCTTCCATTTCTAAAATGGTCAGGGAAGTGCTTATTCATGACTTGTTTGAAATTAAAAGCTATCGCGTGCTTACGTAATAAATTGTACGTGCGCACGTTGTAGCTGTCGCGTGCGCACGTAGTAGTCATAGCGTGCGCACGTGGTAGCTATCGCGTGCGCACGTGGTATTTAAATATTTTCCGATGTCCCCCATCGCGTGCGCACGTGTCAGATAAAATATTTCTGATTTCCTCCATCGCGTGCGCACGTGATAGATAAAATATTTCTGATGTCCCCCATCACGTGCGCACGTGATAGATAAAATATTTATGATGTCCCCTCTATGCCACCGTAAAATTTAGTGTAGATTGTCTAAATTTGGTTTATCTTCTCATGATCTGGCTATTGACGTGGACGACATAGAAATATACCAAGAAATAAAAGATTGTGTAGAAATTGTAATGCCTGTCTAAAAGAAAATGAATATAATTTTGTTGAAATGCTCTAAATTCCAGGACTTAAGATCAAAAACCATCAAAAAGATTATAAAGACATATTATAATTTATTATACGTGAACAACTTAACAAAAATTTGTAAACCTAATGTTTGCAAAATCAAAATCAATCGAAATATATATATATAAAACATGTTGTTTTAATATATATATATAAAACATGTTGTTTTAATGCAATGAATATTTGTAGTTGTTGTTGTATAACTGATATTTTGTTGATTTGCTATTTTTTTATTTGTTGAACGCGCGCTCGAGATGAGACTTTGAATTGTAGCTCCAAAACAAACTTTCTCGACATTTTCTCGTTTATCACTTCTTAAAAGGAAGTCTTGATAATTCAATATTAAAGATATGAGGTCACTTTCATTCTGAGTACTAGTCATTTGTCTTGAAAACAACCTTCTTACCACAAATCAAATGTCTTAAAGTTAAATATTTTTAACATTACTGTTGTTCTGCAGCCACATTTAATTTCATGAAGATAATGAACTTTAAATCTATTATTCATATTCATTGTTTTACTTATATAATTTTGTGATTATTATATAATTATAACTTCGTTATAACTATTTTTAAACTTAAAGTATTTATTTATATTTAAAAACTATAGTCCATAGGATATTTTCTGTTTTAACTACACATAATCTGTTTAATACCAACATTATTTTTTGTCCAATTACATTGTAGTATTTTTCAAATTTCTGTTAAGTCTTATTTTGGTTAATATGTACTAACTAAATAAAATTTACTTAATAGTCGTCTAACCAGTCTAACAAATGTCAACAATGCATTATATTAGGGAGAAGTTAGAGGTGTGGTTTGCACTCTGAATTGTAAAATAGTTAGGTTAGCAAAACAATGTAAAAAAATTAGGTGAGGTCAGGTGTTCCTAAGTGTGAGAATACAATCAAATTTATTACACAGATAATACATGTGGGGCACGCACAGATAAATGATTACATAGTTACATTTCTATATCCTTTTAACTCTTAGAAAAATGTCTGTTATAAAATGCTGACTGTTTTAAACTTTCTATTTTCTAGAAAAAGTATGAACTGCATTAACAATCCTTAATATTAAGAATACAATGATTACATTTTTTGGCTGGAAACGCGTTGTAAATGGACCCCCTCCACTTGTTAACCTAAACTGACACACAGAGAAAAAAAGTGATGATCGTTTTTTTTTTAATGAGCAAATCAATAGGGATTTTAAGTGTTATTGAATAACTTGAAGCTAATAACGAATTTGTATCAATTAATAATCTCTTATGTATTTTTGATTTACATATTTCATTAACTCCGTTGTTTTTACCTAATTGCATCATTTTCCTCGCTAATTTTTTTTCTACATATTTTATAGAAACACGATAGTCTAATTGTAGATAAAGGTATATATTCTGTGACATTTCAGCAAAACATGTGCCTGATTATATGTTGAAAGGGCCATTTATTTAGCTTATCTTAATGTGACATTAGAAACTTGACAAGGTGTAGACATCTTGTAGAGCGAAAGGGCGGAGCTATCGGTGATTTAGAAAAAATGCCTTGTTTTTTGTTGAAAAAAATAATGCTGGTCATTAAATAGGTTAATTTTTAATAATACGCATTAAAAAAATAATTGGCAGGAGGCAGGCTTGACCAATTATTTTTGTTGATACGTATTATTAAACACTAACCTATACATAATGGATGAAGTTTCAATAAGCAATTGTTTCTATAGTCAATCACCAAAAATATGTTAATTTGTTACTGAATTGAAAATAATCAGGTAACACTGTTGTCAAACGCTAAGATTTGTATATTCTAGATATTAATTTGATATAAATAACATAAACAGGTAACTTACCGTCTCGTACTTATTCTTGAGCATCGCTGGTCGCAAAATAGTCTTCCGGAAAGAACCGAGTACTTGCGTAATGGCGGCAATTTGTAAAGGGGAACAATCGAGTAATTTTTGATAATAGGATAATTTAAGAAGCATGGATCTGAGTGTCTCTCTATTTTAAATGTGGTATAAAATTGAAACAATCAGATTGATGTGCCATATTTTAATCTAGATATCGTCTTTCAATCTGTTTTAGTGATTCTCAAGTTAATCAAGTTTGCTGATATTTTTTTTTATATCAATGTGAAATGTTTTTACATATCGCATGTAAGATTATTGATAATGTACTTGTCAACTTTCATATTGCTATCGCGCTTGCAAAACTTTTATCTTCACGTTAAAAAAAAGAAGCAGACAATTTAATCGCTTTATAGTATATGTAGTATTTTTCTCAGACATAAACTGTATAGTTATTTTTTATTTACCTGCTCCGTTTTTTTTTTTTTCGTTTTTTTTTTGTGTGTGTTTTTTATTTTTTTTAATAATTAAGATCATTGATTTATTTAGGAATAATGCTAATGATATCCGTCTATTGATAGTCATTTATAAAGCATGAACACAAAGACTGTACCTTCACTTTCTCTTATTTTTTCGTTTTTTGATTAAGAATCAGTTATTGGTACGGGACTTAGTAACTTTGTTTATTTTTGTCACCTAGGATGAATATAGCAATGTTCATGTTTAAAATGTATGATTTAAAACATAGTCTTAACTTTCGCTTTAGTTTAAGACTACAATATACACACATAAGTCATAAGTTTACAATTGTAAAAGAATTTCATGTCATTGTATCTTTTATATATCAATGTTATGCATTTGTATATAATTCTCTTCTGTTGTATGTACATTATATATACTTTGTAAATATGTTACGCTCTCCAATTTTGGGGGATAATAAAATATAATAATAATAATATATTAAACTGTTGAAATAATGCTAAACAAATAAAAGTAAGTATGAACCTCTTTATGTTCTTTGTTGTATGTAACGAAAAGATCAATTGTAGATGATAAGACTCTGAAACAAAACCTAGGAAATCGATGTTGCACAATATAATGACGATAAAATGTAACATTTGAAAGACAATGCAGAAGAAAAAATAGACTTCTATGTTCTTAAAAAATCAAACTTGAAGTGTGATAACTTTGCCAATATCTAGTACATGACAGCCCCATTCCCAATTTGCTAAGGATAAACCTGGCATGATATGATTATTAAAACCCAATGAGCCTCTTTGCAAAGGATGCTGAAATATTCTTTACAGAAAACAATTTATGTTATAGAAGGAAATGATGGTATTAAGTGACTCCTAAGTCAATTTCAATATTTCATAGCTTAAATATCCGAAATTAAGATTAAGACCTTTTGTCTATTTAAGGATCTAAAGTATCTATTAAATGGCTGATATGAGGTCATTAATGGTCGTTCATGTGCCATCTAGGTGACATTTGCTTACTTTCATTCATGCTTTCATTCATACATTAATTAATTAATACATTTATTGTTAATCATATTTAAATTTCATTTATTTATTCGTTTTATTTTTTATTTATTTATTTTTTTACTGGGGCATTTTATCAATTTTCTCAGCTCTAAACATAAAAAAATTAACAAAAACAAGGTAAGAGTCCTCATGCAACTTTAATGATACGTTTTGCCTTTTGTAATTGGTCCTTTGTAGTCATTAGTTTGGAGTATCTCCCCTGCATGAGATAACTGCTTGGTGACAGTAAGTATATACAACATGTGATTTGAGAGTACTTCAAATCGAAGGATTGGCTTATAACCCAAGCGACAGGGCGACATCGCAACAACGCGCCGCACGACAACCCGTTGTTTGGCGTGCTTCGCTAGAAACAACACGACAAGGCGACAGCGCTTTGTCGTTTTGTCGCTGGCAACAAGACGAAAAGGCGATAACGATATAATTTGCTCGACAACGCAACGCGCAATGTACCAAATCAGCTACCATACTTTGCAATGATATAAATAATTTAGCAGGGGACATATCTCTGAAAAAGAAATGTGGTGGCACAATAGCTCAGTTGGTTAGACCAGTGACTTTCACTCCTGAGAACGTGGTTTCGATCCTGGGAATTTCAGACACTTTCAGTGTTTATCACCTACCAAGAGGTGTACTGGTAAGAATTCAGGTAATCCTCGTATGTATCAGTGCTATACACTGGGAATGTAAAAGAACCAAGGGGTCTATTCAACCAGGATTCCTTGTATCTCATAGCTTTCTCTGAAGTCTAGTTAAAATAAAAGTAGATCCAATTATATAGGGTTATAAAAGAAGTATATGCTCGCCCATATGGTTTCTTTCCGGTGGCGAGGGTAAACAAACCCAAACACACACTATCTCTGAAAAATAGGAACAATTAGTTGGCTTGCATGGGGTATACACAAATCATTATGCAGCTTTGGCCAAAGCATTGAGGGTGCCATGTGTATAGTTATATGACTCTAAGCTGATCTGCTGCTTTAATATATAAATTGGAGTTTCAAAGATCTAGAAGCAGCCAGAATACAAGACATATGACTTAGATTTAACCAAAATAACATACTTAATCCCCATACAAAACATACAAAATGAATATATATCATAAAATTAGAATAGTAAGATCAAATGTAAGATCAAATGTAAATAAATGAAAGTCCTAGCTACCGAAGCTGTTTCAACATTCTTGTATTCAGTTATAAAAGACTTTAGGAATCTGATATTTAATATAAAGCAATACTTTTATTAGTGTCAAAGAATGAGCAGGTGTCTTTAGCATTCGTACTGGACTTAACAGAGGCTCATGCTAGCCCAACTTCTAAAAAACTCACAACTATTTTAGTTCTTGATGTAAGATACTTTACCTAATACTATTTAAAAAGAATAATAATACATGTAAATCTTTGTACTTGTGAACAATAGATTAAATCAAATCTTACACTTTAACTCATACTACTGATTTATACACAGTATTGTTTTTAACAACAGAAGATAATAAAAGTAATTGCTGATATACCTTATCAAATACTCCAAAAAAATGAAAATGCAATAATGTTATCTTTATCAATCACTACAAACATAATCAAAATTAAATTCATTGACATTAATATTGACTTAAATCTTGACTAATATCTTGATTACACTTGCAATTAGCAATTAGTAATTAGTCGCATCAGCATTTCCTGTAAGGTTATTTACCAGTTACATATATGTTAAATCCATACATATGCATGATTTTTTCATTTTATTTTTATAGATGTCTAGTGTTAATTCAGTATTTTTTATTTAATTTAACACCTGGTATAGCTTTTTAATCAGTGCTGGAGCAATGCATTCAACATTTTCCTAATTAACAGATATTTGACAATAACTGTATATTGAATATAAGCATAACCTATGAAAATATGAACATACCTACTGATTGCTGTTATACACTGAATCTTAAGTTGAATATTGATATAGCCAATGAAATTATATATTTTACATTTAACCCTTATGATTATGTTATTCAAACAGTAAAATGAATTTAAGAGGTATGAGTGGTTAGTATGCTGCAGATAGAACAAACATAGCATCACATACCTCATGCCTAGCTCAGGTATCTAAATTCCATAAAGATTTCTATTGAATCTCGAAAAAAATGACGAGTATTTTTGGGAAGGGCCTATACACTAAATTCATGATATTAATAAATTTAATGCAGGGTGTTACACAGTTTTTATATTCCTATTGACAACATCCTTATTAAAGCTCAACCTTAAGTGAATCCAACAATAAATGTCAATTTTCAAATACAGATAACTTTATGTATTTCTGAATGTATAGCTGATTGTTGATTGTCTAGCTCAACATTCACTTTGAGAATTGTTTGATTATTATTATAGATCGAAAGTTGAGCTGAATGTTGATTGTCTAGCTTGACATAAGAAATTATCGATTGTCTAGCTGATTGTTGATTGTCTAGCTCAACATTCACTTTAAGGATACTTTAAAAATTATTACAGATCGAATGTTGAGCTGAATGTCGATTGTCTAGCTCGACATAAGTAATTATCGAATGTTTAGCTGTTTGTTGATTGTCTAGCTAATCATTCATTTTAAGAATACTTTGATAATTATTACAAGTCGAATGTTGAGATGAATGTCGATTGTCTAGCTCGACATAAGAAATTATCGAATGTCTAGCTGATTGTTGATTGTCTAACTCAACATTCACTTTAAGAAAACCTCGATCATTATTAAAGATTGAATGTTGAGCTGAATGTCGATTGTCTAGCTCGACATAAGAAATTTCTGAATGTCTAGCTGATTGTCGATTGTCTAGCTCAATATTCCCTTTGAAAATTCTTTGACTTTTATTATAGATCGAATGTTGAGCTGAATGTCGATTGTCTAGCTCGGCATAAGAAATTATCGAATGTCTAGCTGATTGTTGATTGTCTAGCTCAACATTCATTTTAAGGATACTTTGATA